AGTCAAAAAATTTCTTTCAATTAAATAAAATCTAATGATATGAAATGCTCTTTTTGTACGTAGGAGGTTGTAGGTTGAATTCAATTTTTACCTGCAACAGACTTCTGTAATTCAAAAAAAAAAAAATTGTCTCAAGAAGTGTGAGATCTTTTGAACTTTATTCAAAATATTTTTGGGCAAATATCCAATATTATGTATTATTTGACAAACCTTTTGGTATACATTGACTTTTATTGGTTTTTTTTTTTTTATAAAATTAGAATGAATCTATAAACTGACATATGTACACATTAAATTAGGTTCCATTCAAAATTCTAACATATTTCTCCATCCATAATTTATATATTGAATAATTTTTTTCCACATATGTATCATGTATAGCATAACAACAATGTTTCATTAAATGTTGTTTATTTCATTAATAACAGTTATATTAAATAGTAACAGACTCAACATCTTTTAAATAAGATATAGTGTCTATTTTAGTGAATTGAAAAACAATTACCTTAGAATAGCTCATCAAAATATAGCACTAGCTGCAAGATAATTATTCACAAAATATATTTGTTATGTATATACACATTAATGTTGATTTGCTTTAAATAAACTTGTTTAAGATTATCTTACAAGCTACTTTTGTTGATTAAAGTGGAGCACAAACGGGTGATAGGAAGATAGGCCAAAAAGCACAATAATAATGGTGTCACATATAGATTAGTTAATATGCAATTTGGGATTTTAATATTTTACCACTTCAACTAATGGAACCTTGCCGAGCGACAGCCTTCAACTAGATCCCTAGTCTATGAAAATTAGTGGAAGATTTGTGGGAAATTTACTATTGAAAAATTTTAAGACAAACCTATTTATATCAACAAATTTTAAATTAATTTTTTTTTTGAAACATTCACATGAAATGTTTAAGAAAAAATGGCAAAAAAAGACCTTAAAAATTGAAAGTTTTCATATAATGACCCATTCACAAAATTGTTATCATTTGCTTATTAATTGTTGTCAAAATCAATACAAATATTTTAACGAGGTTCTATTTATAATTTTTTTATTTTTAAAGTCTTTTTTTATGATTTTCTCAATGTTTAATTCGAAGTCTTTATGCCATTCATTTTTAATTATAGTTTCAATCTTTTTATTTTTTTTAATTTTTAAATTTTATTCATTACACAAATTACACTATTAATTAAAAGATAAAGTACTGTATTTTAGTTAGAAAACTAATTTACTCTTATTGTCCTTAATGCAAGACTTATTTAACTAATTTAATTATATTAAAAAAGTTAAGCAAGCTAGTTTATGAAATTTTTTTTCCTAAAATATGCTAATAATTTTTCTTAATATCCTTTTTCTCTCGTATGCTTAATTATAATCAAGAAAGTATCAATAAGAATGATTAAAAAAATTAATAAATATAAAAAATAAATCTTATAGTTAGCACCAATACTAACTCCATGATTATTTCCTACAATAAGGATAAGAGAAGTATACTATAATTTATTATAAATTTAAGTGAATGGAATATAACATGTGTCCTTGCTTTTTAAAATTTTCATTTGGGTACGAAGGAGTCCGTACTGGTCATAATGTACAATTATTTATTTTAATACGTCGATGATGGAATGGATTAACAAATAGAATCTCAAAATTCGAAAATCTAAAATCATGCATGCTTGTTCCTTTGATACGTTAAGATAATGCTTTCCCTTTATTTTTTTTAAAAAATTATTTCACACGGAAGATTGTTTTGAATTTACATCAAATCAAATGTTCTATATATATATATATATATATATATATATATATATATATAGCATTTATTCTCCACGATTAGGCCATTTGAAGACTTGAGGCTAAGATTTAACTTCTTGTTGATGTAAACAAAAATAATTATATAATACTATCTCCGATCCTGATTATAAGATTTTATTTATAATCTATAAACAGAGTTTTATAATTAGGAGCGGAAGTATTATATTACTTTCAAATAGCACAAAAAAAAAGAGTAATAAATGGTATATATTAATTAAACTGCCATGGAGCTCAACTTCGGCTTCAAAAGTCGAGATTCTGTAAAGGAAAAGCTGATTTTCCCCGTCCTTCTACCTTAATCTGAATTAGCAACCCCACAAAAGTCTTGAAAAGCACTGAACTCATTCTCTGTTTGCTTCCTTTTTTTTTTAATTGAAAAAAATGATATTGTTTGTTCCTGTTTTGTGCTTTGGATATAATCTAATGTAGATGAGACTGTTCATAGTTTATTGATGTGATTTTTTATAGCTTATACCCAAATTACACCGAAATGGCGTTCTAGTGATGAAAAGTGCAGGCAAGTAACAAGTGATTTTGACTAAAATATTCGTGAATTTGTAGGCAAGGAACAAATAAATTACAGATTTTTCTTTTGTCAAAAAAAAAAATGTAAACAGAAGAGGAAAAAGAAGCAAAATTTTGCGAATTTTCTTTTCATTGCTGGAAAGCTCAGCATGAGAAATGCGTGAGACCCAATTGTTTCTGGTGTGCTGATCTGCTGATGAGACTCGCGTGGCTGAAATTCAATGAGGATGAAAGAAGAGAAAAGAAGAAAGGGGTTCGCTTCAAATTCAACAAAAAGAAGGTTCAAACATTGGAGTTATGGCCATGATGCTCCTATGATTTCGAGTGGAGAAAAAAATGGATCATCACATTATGTGCTCCAACGAAAATTGTCAGCTTACTAGTGATAGAGATTGAAGGCCATGGTGGGTGTGTAAAAGCCTTCCAATCCCTTTTTGCTTTGGTGGATTAAGAGGATTTGTCATCTCTCAACATGGCTTCCCATGTTCTAGGTAATTACAAGTGATTGCTCTTAGTGTTATCCTCTTTGGCTAGCTGAACAAAGGACCACTAATTTAAACTGTTATTGTTTATGCATGCTACCTGTTTGAGTAATTTCCCTAGAGAAAAATTTGTACGAGACAACTTGTGAAATTACTGTCGTATTGAAGATTAGGCTGTCAATAAAAGATTCACCATATCCTGGAAAAAATATTGAGCATCAAAGGAGTTGGTTTTTATAAGATAAAATTCGTTTGGGGTTCTTGTAAAGCCATGTAATCATTCATATGAGAAGCGCTAAATAGAATGTGACTACATATGAATTTAATTCCTCTAAACAATAAGGTGGCTGAAAGTGATGAGAGACAAGGAAAAAAACGGATAAGTGGGGGCTAATTCTGTTGTCTTTCGGTGACATAGGTGGATTTTTCTTATAAATTAATTCAAATAATTATATTTAGATCGTATATCAGTATATGGTATTACTGTTCTTCTTTATGTGCATTCTTTTTCCCTCTTCATTTTTTCCGAACGTACTATGCCCAGTTATTTTTGTGAGTGCAGAAAATCATATCAAAATTACAGAGGAGTAAAATAACAACAGTATCCTATTTTGGGTTTCTCTTTCTCTATTGAAGGGTTGCGGGGAATTTGATTGCTATTTGAAAAGGGGTAACTAATAAAATTGTGGTTGTAGTGGAGCTTGAGCTTTCTTTTGTGAAGTTATTCTAAATAAGATTCACCAAATCTGGAAAAAAAAAAAAATTGAGCCCATAAGAGCTAGACTTGTGATGATAAATGATGATTAGTTGCTTCAACCTTGCTTTAAATTCTATATATTAATGATTAGTTGCTTCAACTGTTGTGTCACTTTACAGTTAAATGTTGAAAGACAGGGGCATCATCCAGTAGGAAAATTGCAGAGAATATAAGGGTATAAATATAAAAGAAAAGGAAAAGGGGAAAAAGTGATCACAATAATTCATAATATAAAATGTTTGTTCGGCGGGGGAGGATATGTGCTCTATTATTTATGTAGAGTGGAGTTGTTAAGTTTAAAGAATAACTAAAAATAAAAGGAAGACAGGGGAAACAGATGATGTTCAAGTATAATATAGTATAGTATAGTATGTGTATATGAATAATAGATGTTGTGGTCTGAATAAGATGAAGAAAGTGGTTATGATGGACGTGATGGATGGAACCAAATATGAAACTATGAAAGCTGACCCATGCATTGTGGAGTTATCTGAAACACTTTAGAATTTTCTTCTTCTTCTTCTTTTTTTGGGGGGGGGGGGCGGAAATCTTTTTGCTTTCTATTTTTTTCTCGTTCTTTGGACAACCCAGTTGTGTTATATAGTTTCAAGTTTGAAGTTCTCGGTCAAAAAAAAAAAATGAAAGGTTTGAAGTTGTATATGGAGGGAGCAGTTGTTTGCTTCTGTAAAAGTCCAAAAGTCCACAAAGAAGAGGTACAATGCCTCAGACTTTGAAAACAGTAGAGGCATTTTATTTATCCTGTGCAAATAGGATACTTTATATGTATGTATATATGTATGTATTATGCGATATATTTATATTAAAATTCTATGTGTTGTCCACACACACACATATATATGGATGAAATTTTAAAGAGGAATTTATATATATTATTGCCATTGTTTATTACTTATGACTAGTATGACTTGCAAATTATATATGGATATTGATTTTTTTTTAATTTATGCATATAAATGATATGTATCCGAGAGAAGTATAGAATTCTCTTCGAGAACCTATGTATTGAAATCAGTCAACTATATTATCCAGCAAAACCTTTTGAAAAGCACTACTCTTTCCTCAGTCATCAATTCATCTTCAAAATGATTTTGTTCTTCAAAAAAAGTAGTTATTGAAATGAAGAATCTATTCACTCAAAAATTTTATATAACATTTTACAATCACGCAATTTGAAACTTGAACATATCTCATTATGTTAGTTGCCATCAAAATATTTAATATTTTATTGGATTACAGTATCTATTTTATGCTTTTTAACCTTTTTCAAGGAAAATTTATCAAAGACCTTCCTCTAACGTCTCTGATGGCCCACCACTGTCCCCCCAACCCTGCACTCCCTTCTCACCTTTGCTTTCCCATAATTAAACATCAATACCCACGATCTCTCTGTCTGTCTCTCTCACTTTCTCTCTCCCCATTTACTCTTTCTCCATGTTTGAACCTTTTTCAGTTAACTAAAAAATGAAAAAGGAATCTCCTCTCATCTTACCCTCTATTAATGTTCCGGAAACATAGAAAACTCAAACCTGTTTTGTCTTTTGATAATTAGCCATACAAGCAACACTGCAAGTAGATGTCTCCAATTTCAAAGCAGTTTTCAGGTGATTTTCGAAAGCAAGCCACTTCCAACTGATCTTCAAACTTGAAAGGATATGTAATACTCCTTCTTTACAGTCATGCTTATATCTCTACTCGTTGTGTTCTTGTTTTGTTTTCCATTGTCTATCTTGGTTCTTAGATAAGTTAGAATCCCTGAATAGAGGAATATAGTTTGTTGATTCTATGTTCAAACCTTCTAAAACCCATTCTTCGGTTCTGTCTTTATCCTCCACTACCCAACTCTCTTTCTCTCGACAGGCGTTCTCAAGAAATTTTTAGACTTTGGAATATCCCATAGAAGACTCTTTGTGTCTTAAAACTCCGTCTTTGTTACATATGTAATATAAAAGTCCAGATAATGCTGTCCCAGGATTCGCATGTGCATGCAGTTCTCTGTTTTTGTAAATGGTACTAGAGATGTTATCTTCTCCCTCCTTAAACTAGGAGTCGAGGTTTCTTCTTTTTCATTGTTAATGGATTGAAGCACAATCAATTGTGATGGTGAATCTCTTGAAGTCATTTTTGCGTTGCTGGAAAATCTTGGATTCTAGATTGATTTGAGGTCAGATTGTTACTAAAAGACCTGAACAAACATCTGTGATCAGATTTGTTTACACAAGTCATGTTGAAAAGTTATAGAACTTTATGCTAGTGTAAATCTATATTCATGCCATGCCTGCCTCCTTGGTAATTAGTTCCCATACAATTCTAAAACAGATGGGTCTGATCATTTTTTGGGGTTTTTCTTTGCCAAAGGGGAAAAAAAGGATCCTGCACGACTCAGAATAAATAGAATACGTTATAGGAAGGATCCTGGGGGATTGATGATGCTGAACTTGTTTATGAAAAGCATGATCAATTTGTATTGCATCAAAAATCCCCCTTTGAGCCGCAGATCTTTAGATGTGACTTTTGTTTTGAAATTTGCAATTTATCTCTTGATTTACCACATCACAAATCCATGAACTTATTTCATATCAACCTCTGCTCAACGAATGTTGAGAAAAAGGTGAAAAAAAGGAAAACTAAATACCAGCAAAGTTGGTTTTGCTGGTATCTTTTACTGATCTGGGTATGTTCGCTGATATAATATGTCCAATTGCTGGTAATAAGATGCCTATATCTTTTGCTTTCCGCCATAAACATAAGCTCCTTCTGTTGCTTTCAGCCACCATGAGTAACCTTGCTTCCCTAATGGTAGAAGAGACTATACAGAAGGAATTACTTCCGGCCATCAAAATTCATGATCAAGGCGCTTTAACCATAAGACATGCTTAAACCCCCCCCCCCCCAAAAAAAAAAAAAATCGTTAGACATGCTAGATAAAGGAAGTTTGCAGCTAACTCCAGGACTAATATGTGATGTTGAATTGTTTTCACCTCATGCTGAAATTCAGTTATGTCTCACTTGGGTTTCCTAGAATTTGACAATTTGTATTCTCTATTTTTATGTATCTTCTCTCTGGAGGATATATTGTTTTACATACGATTCACGTCAGATTTGTTAGAATCCCCTGCAACTATTCCTCAGATTAATTTGAGTCTGAAATTTCTTGTTTTGATGCTTACTACGTATAACTAATGAACATTCATTGCATTCCAAATTCCAGGACTAAGTAATTCTTCAGCTTCAAGCTCTTAATCTGATGGTTGATTGCTGCATTTGCTTTACTTATCACCGTGCAATTTAAGCATAGCCAAGTCATGAGACCTAACTTGGATCTTGAAGTGGAGGCTTCTGCGGAAAATGAATCTGAAATTAGCAGCCAGGTTGCATCCAACATATTCATTCATGAAATATCTGCAGGTCCTTCTAGTGACAGCCTCCACAACGCGTCAGACAACACAAACACCATAGTATTTCAACTAAGTAATTCAGATCCTCTTTCACTTGACTTAACTCTTAGCTCTAATAACAGCGCGCTAGGCCCTGCTAGAGACTCCATAGGACTCTCATTCTCAAGCACCAGTGAGAGCAGTAATGAACCTGCGTCTCAAACCACATCAGCCACCATCCAAAGAGTCTTCTCTTGCAACTACTGTCAGCGCAAGTTCTTCAGCTCACAGGCTCTCGGTGGCCACCAGAATGCACACAAGAGGGAAAGAACACTAGCAAAGAGAGCTATGAGAATGGGGTTTTTCTCTGAGAAGTATGCAAGTTTAGCATCCCTCCCTCTTCATGGCTCTTTCAGGTCGTTAGGAATAAAAGCACACTCCTCACTCCACCATGGCTTTTCACCATCAATGATGAGGCCTTACGAGATTAAAAGCAATGCAAGATTCGATCAAGGGCATGTTGGGATGCCAATGTTCATGGAGGATGATGAGGCAGAACTGCTATGGCCTGGTAGTTTCCGGCAGGTTGGAGAGGCAAGTGATAATGATAATACTCATCATCACCAACATCATCATCAGAAGTTTGTGGTCACTGGAAGTTCAAATTTGAGTTTTGCAGAAGTGAATCCGGAAGTACACCTTGAGCAAGAGGACTCAACACCAGATTTAACATTGAAACTATGAAGGAGTTGGCTTATCAACTTAATTTACATATTTTTGTACAGTAAGACTTGGATGCAGTGGCAAGATTGCCAGATTGATTTTTAACACTGTTTGGGCTTTTCTTTTTCTTTTTCTTTTTCTCCATCAGTTTTTTTTTTTTCCTGCCTTCCTCCTAGGAATTTCTGCTTTGGTGTTTCACTCCTTGTTTCTCCTTGTATAAGAGCTCTGAGATGACACTTTGAGAGCTTATGTGCTTGTTATATAAATCATGCTTTTGTTTACTGTAATTTCTGAGCTTCCAGTTTGTTTCTTCATCTTTTGTTTCCATTATGAAGCATACTTGTTCATGAACTTCCAATGATCACCAAACTTTCTGTCTGTGAAGAATGTGATAAAAGCTCTGGTGTACAGAACTGAAGAGCCAAGTTTCTTGATCAGAGAGACAGAAATGGAGTTGAGTCATTAAAATCCCCAAAAGTCAAAGCCTACTGAGCAATGTAGTAGCTACTGATGGACAGCAGCATTGTTCAAACTTGTTGGCTCACTTGTCAGTCACTGCTGTCTTCAGTTGTTGAGGCATAATTTGGATATTTAATCCTCTTTACTTGCCTCCTTATCTTCTTTAATTAAATCATATGCCATCATTATTTTTTTAAAAAAAAAAAAAACTATGGTGGGGCAACTAGTATGCCACATGTATTTCCCAAATAATATTTTTCAGTAAGAAAAAGATATTCCATTTCTACATTATTAATATGTAGAAAAAATAATAAAGCTGAGGTGCAAACTTACAATTATGTGCTTCCACCTAGGCACGCTAATGTGGCAAGTTAATTTGTAATTTCATTTCATGCCATGCCATTTTTTTTATCAATAAACTATTTATAACTTACCCTCTCCAACCCTCGATACAAGTTACAATTTTTTAAATAAGTCTGGTTCTTTTTTATAAATTATATTCTGGAGATGTCTAAAATTTTAAAGCTTTTTTATTTTATTTTTACCCCGAATTGATTATGTCTCTGCACAAATTATAACATTTTTTTTATTCATTCTCTTTCACTCACCCTCTCTATAAATAATAATGTATTTTTAAAAAATATATTTCTTACACGTTTATTTCCTTGAAGAAATTTTAACTGAGCATAATTATATTATTTATAATTTATAAAAAAACATCCAAATGAGTAGATTGATATAAATGAGTCTTCAATTTGAGTGGCAACTTTCACAGATGTTATAATTGGTAATTAGTTCAATTTTGATTAAAAAATTAATTATATATATTTTTTGCTAAAGTATAGGTATCCTCCTATTAAAGGTAATCCATATTTGAGGTACTATCAGGCACCAAATGTGGGCACCTCTTCCAGCGGGGATTCGAACCTTAGTACTCATGTTATGAGAGACTAGCCCTTTCCACTAGACCTAATCCTGCTGGTTAAAAATTAATTATATTTATGCTTTCACACCTCTCATTTCACATCAATCCAAATGGACCTAGATTCTTTCACTTAAAGAGAAAGCTCTCCCCAGTTCATCTCTCTTTCAGACTTTGAACCTGCACATAATCAGATTCTCCTTAATAGGAAACTTTCACCGAGCTGCCTGGGTAAATTTCAATTTTCTTTTAATGATAGCCAAAAATATGTGAGTTTGGTTAACTATATTAGAATATGTGTAATGGTTTCAAATTAATTCATGGATGATAATTATTTATTTTTTGGGTAACAAGCTATTTTATTATATCATTTACTAATTTAAATTTTAATTTCATTACGACTCAATTTACATAATTTTTATTATCATGAAGCTCCGACACTTCCCAACGATCTCTTGGAATTATGGTTTCTCGTCGATTAAAATTTATTCATTTTATTAGTTTTGAATTACAGTTTTGACTTTGAATTAAATGGCACAACGAATTAATATTTAATAGACTGAGTTGAATGAATAAATTTTTTGGCAGCGAACATAATGTGAATAATTAACACATAACTATTATTTGAATTTTATCTGTAAATGGAATATAGTTTTAAATCAATTGCATTGCATAGAATTTTTTTTCCAAAAAAAAAAAGATTGGCTTGTTTAAAACTTTATTATCTGCAAATTTAAATTCATTTTATATATCAGCATTAAGAATTTATATTCTTATACTAAAGAATTTAGCATTCTTTCATTTTAAAAATTATTGTGTGGTTCTAAAAGAAAAATAATTATCAAAAGGTCTCAAGTAAATTACAAGTTTCCATATAAAAAATGAGAAAAATCACAGTAGGAATCACTTGTCATTTTACTAATTATGTTTTTGGTATGGTACTTATAATAATTTTAAAAATGCCCCCAAATTCCGACGTCCTGCGAATCAAAACGACTTCGTCGTTTCTTCCTTCTAGGATCACGCTTCAGTCTCAGATCTTTTTTCACCAAAAAAAAAAAAACTCGCTTTCGCTTCCAGCCGCCATTTTATTTGCTTTTTTTCCCCCTTCTCGTTACACTACTAATTTTTTCATGTTCGCGTCTCATGCTTACGTGAAGCCTCACTGACGCTCTGAACCCCAACCCTTATATTCTCTGTTCTTCTCGAATCCAAATCCCTCCTCTGCCTTCATCTCATTCGTCATCACAGCCTCGCGAAGTTGCTGTGACGAAGATGGATTCTGAATTCTCTTCTCAATTGAAGTCACAGGTCTTCCAGATTCTAAGCTCTAACGACAATACCCCAATGGAAGTTGTCTTTTCCCATTACTTCTCTTCCGATCAATCCCAAAAGTCCCAGGCTGTCTTGTTCCTCGAATGTTCCAAGAAATCCTACCCTGAATTGCTCTTCATCAAGCTCTTCTTCCTCGTACGATGTGGCGCCAATGTCGACACCCGCGCCAACGCCATTCGGCTCCTTCGCTTCCTTCGAATTTGCGACCTGTGGCCTAAATTACGGGAAACAGCGAAGTCCACACTGAAAGGTCATTTTCTTGCGTATATCAATGAAGAGAATTCAATGCCGGTTTTGAGAATGTTCTGTTATGTGGTGGCCGAGACGGTATGTGAGATTTACACGGACGGCAAGCATTGGCCAGAGCTTCTTGAATTTCTATTGACGTCTCTTGGAAAGACGAGCGATGACAAGTTTCGAGAAATTGCCCTTTTGGTTTTAGCGAAATTTCCGAGGGATTGCCTGTCGTTTATTTGTGATGTTCTGAAGGATAGCTTTCAGGTTCTTCATTCGTCGTTTCTGGATGGGTTGGCTTCGGCGAGCCCTGATGTTCAAGTTGCTTCTTTTGGAGCTGCTGTGAAGTTAATGCCTTTATTTTCGGAGCCTTCCAATCCGGGGTTGTTTCATGAACTTTTGAGGGCAATGATGGTTGGGGTCTTCACACTGTTGAGAAGCTCTCGAGATAGCTATGCTTTCACAGCTTTCAAGGAGTTGATATCGTTGGTGTCAGAAGGGCCTCAATTACTGAAGCCATACATCGGTGATATGGTTTTAGACATGCTGCAAATTGCGGAGAACTCAGCATTGAATGAGGAAATACATTGTTATGCCCTTAGATTAGTCATCACCTTGACAGAAAGAAAAGATTTTAAACCCATATTCTTAAGTCTGCCTCATCAGACTATGGTTAGGCTATTCTTAGTCCCCATGAAAATGTTGCTCTGTATTAAAGAAGATATAACAAGTAATGAATTGAAAGGTAAAGAGGATGGAAGTGTCGGGAAGACTAACGTCTACAACTTTGGATTAGGAAGCTTGTATCAACTTTCTGTCACCCTGGGGCAGAATATTATTCCAATTGCTTCAGAACTGTTGCCACTTTACTTGGAATCTCCAGAATGGCAGAAGCGTCATGCAGGAATTACGTTGCTTGCTTTTGTTGCCAAAGAGTTCTCATTTGAAACGGTGAACTGACTCTAGTCCTTCTATTAATGGTACTGACTGGTTGTGCCGACAGATAGTAAAACAGATAAGCTATAGATGGATGGCAGTAACAACTAATTTTTATTCTTGATTTCCCCACCACCATAAAGCCAAGGATGTACATGTTAGACCCTGGGAAAACAAGGGTTCTACTCTACCACATGAAACAAAATATTGGTTAATAAAAAATGGTGAAAAAAAGCTCAATTGGAAAGACAAGATGAATACTGAATAAACACAGGTTAAACTAAAAGTTGAGAAAATTGAATACTGCCTTAACCATCATGCATTTTCAGTGAGCTTCATCGAGTTGTAGCTATGATTTATTTCTAGTCTGAAAGAGATGGTTGACACATATACGCCTTAGAAAATGATATCATACACATTTTGCGGTTTGGCATCAATTACCTTACTCATATTTCCCTTTCCGTTTAGTCATTTTAGTCTATGGTCCTTCCACTGGACTTCGTTGTAAAATTTCGTTGGTCGCTCATATTGGTTCGGTTTCACTTTCTGGTGGTGGTTTCTTCTCACTGTCTAACATAGAATAATGTGCTTACATTCCAGCTGGAGTTTATGGACGATTCTCTGGGGATAGTGTTTGCCAAAATTATGAAATTATTTCAAGATCCTCAATTTCAAGTTCGCTCGGCAGCTTTTACCTTTATGGCGATGCCTACAATTTTCGTCCAAATGTTGCAACTGTTTTATCATTCTAGGCTTTTGCCTGCATTAGTCATGGCACTTGACACTGAACAGAACGACACAGTAAAGGTGCGAGAGATGTGATTTTTTCTGTATATACATAGATAAATGCAGGGTCAACAACTAAAATGTCACCTGTTCACTGCTTCAATGCATTGATTTTAATTTTATATTCATTCCTTCTAGACCTTGGCATATTATTAATAGTGAAGCCTTGAATAAATGAATATTTTGTGGTGAGACAGCCATAACTAAATGGGCTTCTCATCATTATTCGTTGAGATGTGCACCCTCCAACTTATGACACAATCCTTGACATGACTAAACTGATGTATCATCACTACGGCTTTGGCATAACAAATCTCGACACAACAATAGCTTCTTGCTTTTTAGTTAGAGAAACAATGACTCCCCCGTTAACCTGTTTATTTCTCCTTCTTCAGTTCACCTTTTGTCCGTGTTTTTGATTTGTTAGAAAATGTGTAGAATTTTGTTCCCCTCATCTAATTGATTCTTCCTCTTTTGCTTTGAAATTTTTATGCAAGTAATGAGTCTCCATTCCTTACATTCTCACTCTTACCAGGTACGACATTAATGTTGCATGTACCTTCATTATAAATTTTTTATAATTATAATTATAATTTTGTACTGCTTTAATAGGAA